AAAAAATTACTTCCTAGTTTCAAAAATTAGTAGAGCAAATAGGAACTTTCTGCTAATATAAATATAATATTTATAAATATCCAAATCCCAAACCCACTGCTATTGGGTCTATTCCAATTCATAGCAGCCCTATATAGGGTTTCCGAGGCTACATGGCAACGGATAGCCTCATCTCTCTCAAACAGAGCTGCTGGCGGTTTGAATGCTGACCTTTAGGTAAGCAGTCCAATGATTATCCTACAGCCCCACCAAGGCTCCTAAAACAGGAATGAAACTCTAATCTGAAGCTATCAGACTACATTTGTCCTTAATATAAACACAGCTGAATCAACATTAAAAAAAAAAAACTTACAAAAATTAAAAAAAAAATTTTTTTTAAACTTACTCTGCCCAAATGTTGAAGTTGTGCCAAAGCCTCCTGTACCACCCCCAAAGGGTGTTCCAAATGATTTATTAAACATCCTCAAAATGAGTCTTTGCTTCAGAATGCTGGAAACAGGGGGGGGGGGGGAAGAACATGGTTATAAAAAGCACATAATGCAATATAATTCTCTTTCAGAACATGTATCATTCCACAGTGGGGTTATGGCAGTTCAGGGGTAGAATTCTTGCCTTCCAAGTGGTGACCCAGAGTAACTTCCTGGTACTGATAGAAGCCTGGATATTTCTATGATGCTGAACAGATTTCAAAAGGCCTTTCAGAAAAAGATAAACTAGGAAAGGCCTGAAGCTTTCCTTCTGAAAATCATCCTTAGAAAACCCTATAGGTCGCAGTAGCTGGATGGGCAATCGATCATAAGGATGCACGCAAGGCAGAAAAGAATTGAGGCTGGGCAGCTAACAGCAACACAGTCATTCTACAAACTTAGTTATGCTTGTTCACACTGTAACACAATGTTCACTCTTCATTATCCTAAAACCCTGTGTGATAAAATGTACCTTACAAAATGATCTTTCATACAAACAGCACAATATGAAGTTTAACCTCACATCTATCCCTGTAATACTTTTTATATAAAGCATATATATTATATATACCTAAAACAAAACAAAAAACCCATAAACCTAATGCTGCTGAGTTGGTTCTACCTCATAGAAACCCAGTAGAACACAGAAGTGCTACACAAGGTTCCCAAGACTGTAAATCTTTACAGAGGTTAAAATGACACGTCTTTCTCCCACAGAACTGCCTCTGACAGTTTGATTAGTAGCTGAGCACTTTTACCCACCGTGCCACCAGGGTGTTTCTATTTTTAAACAAATTCACTTTTAATAAAGATTGAAGATCCACTATGACACATTTTGATACGAGTCGCGTAGAAACTTATGCAATAAACCTGTCAAACGCTACAATCATATCCTAGTATTCCAAACACCTAAAATATTAAATACCTAATACATTTGCCAAGCTGAAGGGCTGAAGAAAAAATTCAAGCCTCGACTTACAATACTGAAGAATCCTATGGCCAAAATATTCAATGTTCTGGGTATCAAAAGAAGCTTAAATAAATAAATACGGAAGGAACTCAGTGTCACTGTACCAAAACAAAAAAACAAAAAAGGTTGCTTTTCAACCATTCCATTGAAGGAAGAAATCCAAGCTACACTGAAGGCGTTGATGGGGGGGAAAGGCTCCAGAATATGAACTAACAACTAAAACATCAATACATGTATGCAGCACCAGAGGTGTTCACTGCTGTGTCAAGACATTTGGAAGTTAGTACCTGGTCAGCCAATCAGAAGAGATTGATATTTGTGCCAATTCCAAAGAAAGGTGATCCAATAGAATGCAGACATTGACGTGACCAAGGATTTCACTTTACTTGAATCTATATTCAATGCCCATGGAAGAAGCCATCAAGAAATCAAATGACACATTGCACTGCCAATATGCTGCAAAGATGGCTTTAATGTGCTTTTACAGAAATTAACATTCTCTCCCCAAATTTTCCTTAACAAACAACAACCCCAAACACTTAAGTACTTTATCCTAACATCCAGAAACTGAACAACTCTTTCAACTAAACCAAGCTCACTGAAACCACGTCTCATAACTAGAGAGTCACATCACGGATATCTGGCAAGCTTCTTAGAAATACACACAAGTCAGGTCCCATTCTAAAAATATTAAATAGTATTTTGAAAAGGCTCTCCAAGTGACTCTAATGCCTTTGCTTAGAACTGGAAGCTATGTTTCATGTAATCACTATCACTCAGTAATGAGACCTGTTGGAAGTTTTCTGCCTTCCCAGTTAGTTCATCAGGTGTCACAAAGTAACAGGATAGGGCCTATCTTATCTATTCTATCTAGGGGTAATATTCTTAAGAGGTACATAACAGAAATCTTTGAGTCAGATTTCTATGATTGATTTTTTTTTCTTTTTTTTAAACATTTTATTAGGGGCTCATACAACTGTTATCCCAATCCATACACACATCAATTGTGTAAA